TAAGTCAGGTAAGGGCTCGTTAGTCTTTAATATAATCGAATTCTGCAAAGAAGGTTGAAACTGATTGCAACAGTCAATTATTTCATTAGCGGGACTTAAATAGACTGTTATTTTTTATTTCTTTAAGGAACGTTTAGATTTGTAAAAGTAAACTCGTCAGAAATAAAAGAAGTTATAAGTAAATTGTCATAACGAAAGTCACCAGGGGTAGATAAAATTAGAGTTAAAGATTTAAAGTATATAAAAAATGAAATAAGTCTAATTTTAGCAAATTTTGTCAATTTATGTTTAAAAAAAAGTATTTATCCAGATGAATTAAAGAAATCCATAATAAGACCCATTTATAAAGGTGGCAGCCATTATGAATACACAAATTACAAACCAATTGCTATTCTTCCAGTAATAAATAAAATTGTAGAAAAGGTAGTCATACAAAGAGTGAATAGATTCTTAGAGAAATTTTACATTATTACTGATTATCAACATGGTTTTAGTAGAAGACGGAGTACTAGTAATGCGTTAACTAAGTTTTCGGAAGCAATTAACTGCAGTCTTAATAATGGTAAACAGGTTGTGGCTCTTTTCATAGACTATAAGAAGGCATTTGATACTCTGGACTATGAGGTACTTCTGGGGGCTATGGAGGAATGTGGAATTCGGGGCCCTGTAAATGAGTGGTTCCGTAATTATCTATCAAATCGGACTATTCGCACTATGGTGAATGGGACGACTGGCGCTGAAGAAGATATCGCTCTCGATGTACCAACCGGTTCTGTGTACGGCCCCGTAGCGTACATTATACTGGTGAATAGTGTGGTAAATATAGTGCATCACTGCGATACCTACATGTACGCCGATGACATGTGCCTATTGTATGCTTCCAAAAACTTACATGAAGCTTGTGATAAAATACAGGAAGACTTTGATCGGATTACCCAATGGGCACATGATAACGGCATAATACTGAATTTGAAAAGAACAAAGTGTATGCATATACATTCTCCATACAACAGGCTAGCTAAGAATGTACGCTATGAAGAAATAGGTATTGTAGGGCTGGCCTAAGAGTGCTTGCATAGGAGAAAATTACCATGTCAATGTGCCAAAATAGAGTTTGTTAATAGTTACAAATATTTAGGATTGTTGGTAGATAGCAGTTTTAATTGGAAATTACACATTGAAGAAGTATGTTCAAAATTAAGGTCCATTTTAGGTAAATTCTATCAAATTCGAAAAGTAGTAAGTAAACATGTTCTATTAGTGGTTTACTATGCATTAGTTGAGTCTATAATTAACTATGGTCTTATTGTTTATGGCCGTACATTTAGTACCTATAGAAAACAAGTGAAAAGCCTACAAATACCTATTATAAATTTTTTTATTAATTCAAAAGATAAGAAGAGTTGTAAAAAACAATATGAAAAATAATTTCCCATGTGTAAAATACTCCCTGTTGAAACACGGCTAAAATATTTAATAGCAATTGAACATTACTATACTGACGACTATAAAGTACCAATTATTAACACTTACAACACGCGTAAGGTAAGGGAAAAAAAACTTGAAGAGCCTAGTGCAAATAACTATTACGGACAACGCTTGAATAAATACATTGTACCCAGAATCTATAACAAAATAAAATGGTTAAAAGAAACGCCTCCAAATAAAAATAAAAATAAAAATAAATTAAGCAAAAACTTATTAAAATCCTCTCTGAAAAGGACATTATTAACAGAGCTATAACACATTACATTTTGTTGCATACTTTTATTAATCGCTTTTTATATTTAATTGATTTGCTTATTGTTTGTGTTGTATTTTTTTTTCATTATTATTTTTGTTTTTAGTTTTAAAATTTCTAAATATTATGAAATTGTAGTAGGTAACTTTGATATAACTATCTTTTATTTTCTTTTGTTTATTATAATTAATTGTATTTGTATAGGTGATAGTGCGTAATAATATATAGTTTTAAGAGCGTGTACTCGCCGACAAACTGATTGCAGTTTGGCGAGAGAATAGTAAAAATAATGTACTTACCTTTGTATGAATAAATAAATTGAAAAAAAAATTACCGAATGAACAACTCGCCAATTAACTCGCAGAGTTATTCATGGATGAATGCGATACGTTCGTACATATTCTTATGTTCATCCAACGTAGATTTTTTAAACATATATTACATAATACACTTAGTTTTATTTTATCTTTGACTTTGTATCTACTTTATTAGACGTAATTATATTATAAATAAATATTTGAATATTTTAAAGGTAATAAGTAGTAAAATTAAAAAAAAAAACTGTACAAGCGACTTCAATGTAAATTATTAAGGATAAATCAAAAACTACCGGTCAAGCATTGATCAAATTTATATGGGACTACGTGAGAAGCACCGGTTTTCAATGAAAAATATTTATCGAAACGGTTTACCTAGAAAAAAGTTATTAGGTAACCCAAATAAAAAATACAATAAATAAATACCTATTTCTTTTTGAAGTCAGTTAAAAGGAAGAAAGTTGGTAGAAATAGTCAGTATTAATTAAAATGTATTAAAATCGTTTTACTTTTGTGAAATTCTTAATTTCAGCTGAATCGAGTACATAATTATATTTTTTTAATATTTTGTTAAAGAAATGTATTAGAAAAAACTATAACGGTAGATTGGCCGATTAAATTACAATGATAGCTCACGTGATCAAGAGTCAAGTGAATAATGACGAATATGTAAAAACCGACACCAAAATACATAGACAATCCTTTGATTCTCTAAGTAGTAAGTAGTCTGTTTGCTAAGATACGGTCGCCTTTCTGCCAAATCTTATCAAAGGCGCCGCCGCGACATCTATGGTTGCTGCGGTCGGTGTACACCAGCAGGAAAATTTTGCATTTTATAACTAAGCGCCGTAGTGAAAGGTTATTTCCTATATAACTTGTGTTTATTATTTTTATTCGTATTTTATCACAATAACCATAAAAAAATAGTGTTCTATTTTATATTTAGAATAGAAAAACATTAATTTAATTTATACAGTAAAAAAATTATAAAATAAAAGCAAAATAATAAGTGCGCTTCTGGGTGTGCCGACACTATCTAAGCGAACAGAGTATACTCGAGTATAGCGAGCATATCCGAACAAGGCGTTTACGTGTTTCGTGCCTATTCGTCTGTGCTTAGCGACTATCTGACGTTCAATTACAATTTCTTCCATGAAAATTTATAATTTTCAATGTAATTGCATTATTATAACACGCTTTCATTAAATTTAAGGTGTAATATTTAACAAAGGGTTACAATGAGTTAAAACTTAGATTAATATTTCATTATTTATGTACACTATACTCAAGTAATTAATAAGCTTTAATTATGCTTTAATGAGTTTCAAACTCTCACTTACAGCGTTTTCGATCTAATTAACGTAATTAATTCATAGTCTGCAATGTTTATTAGTATTTCAAGTCTAAACAACGGCTACTAAAATTAATTATGTTATGTTAATGTGTTGAATCATAAAGAAAATTTAAATACCTTTGAAACAACAAGTTAGTTAAGTTTCGTGGGCAGCGCTGAAGCTTTTTAAAAATACTACTATGTCTTGATGAAATTTATTACCATTACATTACAATAATGTTTTAAAACTATTTCTATAATTAATCTTATTCTAAATGCGAGGGCTTTTATGGGATGGTACCAAAAGAAGTTTGTTGATTTAAAGTATGACGCTTTGGTTTTACCACCAATATAAATTATACAGTGGAGTCAGCGTCTTCTGTAACGTTAAACTTCATAACATGTTTTCAGTAATCCAATATCAAAAGCTTAATCGACACAATCCATGTTCAACATGTTATTGTAAAGGTATGGCTACTTGCAATTACCATGTCTACGAGTAATCTAATATCAAAAGCTTAGTCAGGATAATTTGGGATCATCAGGTATTTTAAGAGTACATAACTAGTTACTAGAAATATTTTCTTGAAGCTCACACAACATGACGCGTTTTGCTACTCTGTTGTCAGCCATCCAAAACACATGAATACTCCAAAGCAATTGCCGCTGCGTCAGGAGCGCCTCCATGCCGCAGATGATAGCCCGGCGTAGGACTTCCGTATTTCTGACACGGTCAGACCAACGTATACCCATGATATTATGGAGACATTGAATATGGAATATATCCAGAATTTGTTTCTGCTTGCGATACAAACGCCAAGACTCAGAGGAATATAAAAGGTTTGGCAGAACAACCGCCCTATAGACTGCTATCTTAGTAGGTAGGTAACTGCAATATCTTGGGATTGAATGAAAGATGTCTTTCTCGTAACGGCTTTAATGGCGGACTGAGCGGTGACGTTACAATAATTAACAAATACCTTACACCTCCAGCCTTAAATATCTACATAATTATATAGCAATGAACTTAATAACTAGTTTTAAAGTTATAATTTAACTAAGTATACCATTAATCTAACATTGGAATTTAATTACGGGTTTTCGGATTCGCCTGGAACGGGTCACTGGCCGCGACGGTGGCGGTGGTTGTGGAGGAGTGGCGGGGCCTGGTACAGTCTCGCTGGGACATTGCGTATCTGCCACGTGCTCGGTATCCACGTCATCTTTTCCAGCCGAAACCGCGACCTCCGTTTGCAACTCTGAAGACGCATCTGCAAACTCATCCTCATCCTTTTCATCGACCTCATTAGTGATATCTGGACAGGTAACATCGGATAAGCGCGACCTACGTCTTATTTGATCAATATGTCTTTTAATAAGTCTGTTAACCATTGTCGAGAACGTATCTTCCAGAACCTTCTTTCTGGGCTACCGTGCCCTTGACCTATTTATCCCGGGTGCCGTAGTCCCTACTCCAGACGGTGTCTCCCAAAGAGAAATTACGCGGAACACCACCCGCATATTCGACTTGACGCTGCTGAGCATCGAGCACACGCGCTTGCACCACGTACCCACCGCGAAGTAAATCCAACCGTGAACGCAAGGAACGTCACTGCAGCAGCATCGCTGGGCTCTCACCCGTGGTGCTTTGCTTACTGTTGCGATAGCTTAGTAAAAAGGTTTGTAGGGCGGTATCAATATCTACGTCATCCCTATAAGCCTTTTTAATTGCCCTCTTACACAGCTTAACAGCATTTTCCGCTGCCCCATTAGATGCAGGGTGGTACGCCGGTGAAAACCTTTGCTGAATGCCATTATTTTTCAAAAAACTTTTAAATTCAATACTTGTGAAAGGTGGTCCCTGGTCAGACACTAGTTCTAATGGCAAACCGAATCTTGCAAATATTGACCTCAGCACCTTAACAATGGAAGTCGCATTCGTTCGCGCTACTTCAATAATTTCAAGCCATTTCGAGCTCGAATCTATTAAAACTAAATAAGTTTTACCTTTATACGGTCCTAGGAAGTCTATGTGAACTCTAGGCCAGGGAGGCAAGTAGGGCCAGGGGTTAGGAGGCGCGCGCGGCGGGGCGTCCGCCTCAGAGGCGCAGGTCTCGCAGCTTCGGCATAGCGCTTCCACATCCGCATCGATGTTCGGCCACCACACATAACTCCGTGCCAGCCCCTTAGTTTTCACAATACCCATGTGGCTGCTGTGTAGTTGTTTTAAAATAATTGGACGTAAATATGAAGGTATTACCATTCTATACCCCCACATAATCGACCCGTTATCTAAATATAGTTCATTGCGCCTAACAAAATAAGGTTTAACCTCTTCACCAGGGCAAACTGTCGGCCAACCCGATTTGATATAGGCGAAAATTCTACTAAGAATAATATCCTTTGAAGTCGCCTTCGTAACATCCTCATTAGTAACCGGTAAAAAATTTTCAACGAAGTTAATATAAGTAATTTCTCTATTTATCGTTTTTTTATTATTAGAAGAAATTGGTAATCTTGATAAACCGTCGGCGCAATTTTTATTAGACGTTACGTATTCGATATTGTAGTCGTAACCAGATAAAAGTACGGCCCAACGTTGGATACGTGAAGCGGCCATAACCGGTATTCCCGTTTTTTTACCGAATATGTGTGTTAACGGTTTATGGTCCGTACGCAATATGAATTTTCGCCCATAAAGATACTGATGATATTTTCTTACACCGAACACAATAGCGAGCGCCTCCCGATCGATCTGCGAGTAGGCTCGCTCTGCAGCCGTGAGCGAGCGCGACGCATACGCCACCGGCCGCTCGCCCTCTGGCGTCAGGTGCGAGATCACTGCACCTACACCCACGCTACTCGCATCACACGTCAGCACAATAGGCAAATCGCTAGAGTAATGCATTAGAATTTTACTAGAACTCAATAGTTCTTTTACCTTTTTAAAGGCTCTTTGACAATCGTCACACCAATCAAATTTTATTCCCGTACGCAATAAATTATATAAGGGTGCGAGAATAGTGCTGATATTTTTTACGAATTTTGCATAATACATTATCATTCCTATATAGGCCCTTAACTCAGACACGTTCGTAGGAACGGGAGTGTCTACTATTGCCTTAATCTTATCCGGACAAGTGTGAATACCATCCTTACTAATTACATAACCTAAGTAATAGACTGATTCAGCAAAAAATACACACTTTTCCTTTTTAACTCGAAGTCCGTACGACTGCAAACGGTCAAATACTTTATGTAAATTACTAATATGCTCCTCTGTGTTGCGCCCTGTAATAATTATATCGTCCAAAAATACGCCTACATACGGTAGATTAAATAATTGCTCTAAATGTTTTTGAAAAATGCCAGGGCTTGATGATAAGCCGTATACTAAGCGGTTATACCTAAACAAACCTTTATGTGTGTTGATCACCGTATATTTGGCAGATTCGTCAAGTACAAATTGTGCGTAAGCTTGTGAAAGGTCAATTTTACTGAACCTCTGCCCCCCTTGTAAACGTACCAGTAAGTCTTCTACTCTAGGCAAAGGATAACGGTCGACTTCTATAACTTTATTTAAAGTTAACTTATAATCGGCGCAAATCCTAATTTTACCGTCTTTTTTCACTACGGGCACAATGGGAGTCGCCCAGTCGGAGCGGTCGACGGGTGTGAGAATACCGTCCGCCACCAGCTGCTCGAGTGCGCGCTCCACGGGTGCACGCAACGCATAAGCCAGCGGACGCGCTCGCATGAACACGGGCTGCGCTCCCTCCCGCACACGGATGCTCACCGGCGGCCCAGTGAACCGTCTCAGGCCGTCCGCGAACACCTTACAATATCTGGAACTGAAATCGTTTAAGTTAAAAACATCATTCGATAAACAGTTTAAGCTTCCAAATGGGGGTAACTGTATATTGAGTTCTGCCAACCATTGTCTGCCTAACAATATACTTTTGCCATTTTGAATAACATATAAATCGAGATGCTTTTCTTTATCTTTGTACTTTACTAAAGGCCTTATCACACCCACAGGTTTCACTTGTTCACCCGTATAGTACCTTAGCAACAAAGGACACATATTCAGTTTTAGGTTACTGAATTGTTGTTTATATAACTCGTAGCTAATACATGAAACGGCACTGCCTGTATCACATTCCATTTGAACATCCCTACCGTGTACTGTTAATGATATAAACAATGGTTTGTAATGACTAACGCTTAATTGATTAATGCAAACCATTACCTCGTCACTTTCTTCACTGTTTAATAAACTGTCAGTCTCACTCTGCACCACGTTGAGGCTGTGTTGTCCTGCTAGATAAGGACACATCCTTTGTAAATGCCCTTGTTTATTGCAGACTCGACACACGTAGCGAGCAAACTTGCAGGTCACTACATCGTGTGCATTACCGCACGCGCGACACTCGCGCTGGTGTCGTCGTCGATCATCCAGCACCGATGTTGATACCCTCGGCCCGGTGGGCGTTGCTGCTGCTATCCTGGATGCTCTGCCACGCATCCTGACCTCGCCCTTACTGCCCGCGCGCCGCTCGCCGTCACAACCGATCGCGCGCCCGGTCCGTCTTGTACTGACCATCGCGTAGCAGTTTGTGGATGCGCTCGAGTCTCCAGATATTTTCGGATGCACATCGACGCTGGCTGCATCCTTCTCCGCCGCCTCCATACTCACGGCTAATTGATAAGCCTTGCCAAAGTCTAGTTTGCTTTCGGCAAATAATCTCTGCCGAATTGTTTCACTACTGATACCGCATACGAACTGATCGCGCAAACTTTCTTGCAACAAGCTACCAAACTCGCAAGTTTTCGACATTTTCTTTAGGTCCGTTACATATTCTGATATACTTTCACCGTCCCTTTGTTTTCTTTGTCGGAATTTAAATCTTTCAGCCAGCTCGCTGGGTTTTGGTTGAAGGTAATTTTCCAAAATTTTTGTTAGCTCTAAAAACGTTTTTGATGTGGGTTTTTCCGGGGTACACAAACTCACGAGTAGTTCATAACTCTCCGCCCCCATAACCGTGATTAATGTAGGTACATGTAGCTCACTTGATATTTTGTTCACAACAAAGAATTGTTCGAGCCTTTCCACATATAGTTTCCAATTGTCTGTGGCCACTTTAAATTCCGATATTTTACCAATCGACATGGTTTAGGCCGGTTAGCTTATACACACGCGAACTTTTACGATATATATTTATTTTTCTTTTTTTTTTTCTCTCGTCGCCAATGCAATATCTTGGGATTGAATGAAAGATGTCTTTCTCGTAACGGCTTTAATGGCGGACTGAGCGGTGACGTTACAGTAATTAACAAATACCTTACAGTAACCTGAAATCATGTGAGCGGGAAACCTTGGATCTGAATTTTCCGAAAGCAGCTGATGTAGCACCGAATCTTACATTAATTTTAGCTTCAAGATCACATTTAGATGTTATTACACTTCTCAAGTACTTAAACTCTAAAGATTTCAGAAGGCCTTGATTGAGCTGTATCCATAAAGGGTCAGAACGGAAGCCCGTAGCCATCACTTTGGTCTTTGTCACACTGACTTTGAGGCTAAACTTACGTCATGACTCATCAAGACTACTAATCAATAAAGAATTTGGGGAATACCGTTGCAAAACACAAGTCATCTCTATACGTAAATTTCGTTATTACAACGCAAGTCACCTTAGACTTTGACCGCAGTCAATTTAAACTAAAAAGCTGGCTATCGGTACGGTAACGAATACGTATGTCTTCCTGCAGAGTATGTAGTGCATCCCTGACGATAACAGCGAAATATAGAGCAATCAACGTTGGCGCTATGACACAACCTTGCTTGACACCTTAGGTAATAGGGAAACATTCTGTTTTTTCGCCAATTACGGAAACACAAAAAGTCATTCCATCGTGAAATAATAGAAGCCTCAATACTTGTACATACTTTTACGGACAACCCAATTTTAACAAAATTAGCCATAATGCTTCACGATGTATGCTATCAAACGCTTTCTTCAGATCGACTAATGAAAGGAACATCGACCGATGCTGCTCGCAACTTTTTCCTGCAATTGACGTATTCAAAAGATAGCTTCGCAAGTACTCCTCCTTGGACAAAAACTAAATTAGGTTTCTGGTAACAACGCTTCTGAAATAGGAATGACTCGGTTAAGAGGCACCCTAGGAAATAATTTTCCAGGCGTAGAATGGAATTATAGGCTGTGTTCTTAGCGTTCTCTCATTACATACTTGGCGTGCAGGTGAGAAGATACGAATGCCTGAAAATTATAGGAACTTAAAGGAGGGTAATTTTAGAAAAAAAAATGCATTATGTAAAATAAACTAGATGGCGCCAACAGATATTTTTAGTCGAAATTAACATTCCGTATGACGAGAACCTCGTGAAAGCCGAAACAGATAAGCGAACTAAATATCTGGACCTGGCTCACGAGGTGACCGACATGTGGGGTGTCTCTCAGGTCATCTGGTTTCCATCTGGTTGGGTTTTTATTTATTTATGTATTATTTATATATAGTAATTTATGTTTATTTATAATTTTCTTTAATATATTTACTCAGCCCAACCAAATGAGAATACTATATAAAGACCCCAAATAATAACATATTTTTTTACTTAAAACTAGTGATAGTATTAAATTTTTCATATCTTATTTATTTATATTTATTTAACTTTATATGTTGACTTAACTACTGCCTCATAATGGCAGAATCCCACCTTTCAGCAAGTGGCGTAAAATCTTAAACACGTTACATTTTATAACGGTGGCAAACGACCAAACATCCTCTTAGAAAAGTAACTCTTAATAAAAAGTAAAAGCCGCCGTCAGAGAACTAGAAAAAAATATAATTTAAAATTTTGTACAACCGACTTCAATATAAATTATTAAGAATAACTCAAAAACCATTGGTCAGACCTTGATCAAATTTATATCCGACCTTATGTGAAGCACCAGCTTTCAAATAAAAAAAGAATCATCGAAATCGGTTTACTCTGAAAAATGTATGCGGTAACAAACTTAAAAAAAAAAACATACAGTCGAATTGAGTACCTTCTCCTGTTTGAAGTCGGTAGGAAATAAACAAACATTCTAAAGTCGGTGCTAAAACATTGTGTATAGATTTTTTTTTAATTTAGTAAAATTTTAGTTTTTTTTTTTAATATGAAATTCGGTCGACGAACGAGAACATAGTCCACCTGATGTGAGTAGATACTGTGGCACATAAACATCTATATAAATTGGATTGAGCATTAAAATACGTTATAACCCCTGAGGACTAAGACGGAATGGCTCGTTTCTCTCATTTTACGCTTGTATTCTGTGAGAGTGCGGTACTTCCCCGGTCGAGCCGACCCATTCGTGCTACAACCATAATATAGCTGCAGCATGGTTATAGGTTATAGAAAATAAACGTTAATCAAATATACATACAAACATATTCACAGTATAATAGAAATATCCTTATTATGTCCGTTTTATATTACACACCTCTGATATTACTTATTACACACACTCATATATTATACTACATAACTAAAGTTCCCATCCTTTTGAATTTCCATTATTTAATTTAACTATTATTATGATAACATCTCTCTCGAACATATTTCTAATATTGCGTAGCTACACAATATCCTCGCGGGCGAATCCAACCTCAATGGGCATTGCTAAAAACCAACGCTACCGCAACCGTGCGGTAATATTATGTTGAGTTTTTATACGTGGTAGAGCCATGCTGCAGCTATATTATGGTTGTAGCACGAATGGGTCGGCTCGACCGGGGAAGGACCATGATCTCACAGAATACCAGCGTCAAATAACAGCTTAACGCTGCTGTGTTTCTATAATTGTGTTCAAAAATGTATTCGCCTTCAGCGATTCAAAGATCGTGCTTGCATGGATAAATTCCTCCACGCATCGTTGGCAAACTTTTGTCGCCAATCGTGTCGTAGCACTTACCGAGCTTATACCCGCTAATTGGTTCTATCATGTGGCAAGCTCTGAAAATCCAGCAGATTGCTTGTCACGTGGTCTTACTCCGGCTTGTCTTATGGAACACCATTTATGGTACAACGGTCCTCCATGGGCTTTTCGTAGTCCCTCTGAGTGGCCAATCAATAACTTTGATTGCAATAAGCTCATCGAAGATATACCAGAACAAAGGTCCGCCGTGCTGGTACTTACTACAGACTTGCCTGAATCACCGCTGTGTGAATTCATTCAACGCATATCATCGTGGCCCAAGTTATTGCGGATAATAGTGTACGTACATCTTTATTATGACTTACAATTTGCCGAAATAAGCTTATATGTCACGTACAATATTTGCACTTCACTGAAGATTTGGAGAACTTAAAAAATAATAAGCCTTGTTCCTCAGCGCTTGTTAAACTTAGACCTTTCATAGACAAAAATGGTATTATTCGCGTCGCAGGCCGACTCTCAAACTCTAACGAGCACTACAACTACAAATATCCATATATCTTACCTCGTCGCGATCGTGTTGTTGAATTGCTTATTGAACATTATCATAAGAAGCATTTACATGCCGGCCCAGAATTGCTTATGTCCTTACTTAGAAATAAATGTTGGATACTCGCTGCTAGACGAATAATTCATCACATTATACACAAGTGCAACACTTGTTTCAAATCTAAACCGCGTGCAATTTTACCGCTAATGTCTGATCTACCTAGTCAGCGTGTAAATCAAGCTGAAAAGGCTTTTACTCATGTGGGATGTAATTACGCAGGCCCATTGCAGTACACGCATCTTCGTGGTCGTGGTATAAGAAGCCGCAAAGCATGGCTTTGCGCTTTCACATGTTTGACAACCCGCGCTACACATATAGATGTAGCAACAGATTTCAGTACCGTGTCATTTCTGGCCGCCTTGAAACGAGTTCTTTCTCGTCGGGGGCCTATTAAATGCCTTTATACAGATAACGGGACGTGCTTCGTAGGCACACATTCTTATTTAAGGGATTTTTATAAACTTATCGATAAGGAGCTTAATCCTCGACTTCACGAGGAGCTGGATGAAAACCGCATTGAATGGAAATTTATACCACCCGCGTCTCCCCATTTCGGTGGATGTTGGGAGAGTATGATAAAGGTGATCAAGTCGCATCTCTTTAAAGTGATAGGTCAACAAATTCTTTCTTACGAAGAGCTCTTAACGGTTTTAACGCAAATCGAGGCTCTCCTCAACTCACGTCCGTTGACGTCTATGAGTTGTGATCCTGCAGAACCATCTGCGCTTACGCCTGCTCATTTTCTAAACTCATTCCCACTGTCATCATTTCCAGGTTATCCCACTGACTCTACTAGCTTAATCCAACGACATTCTCTTTTAGACAGCCCCGTCCAGTCTTTCTGGCAACGATGGCGTAGTGATTACTTGCATAAACTGCAGGTTAGGGCTAAATGGAATTCACTTGCGGCTCCCATACTCGTGGGGACTGTGGTAGTTATTATGACGGATAATGCACCGCCTCTATCTTGGCCCCTAGGAGTCGTGGAGAAGGTGCACCCTTCTAAAAATAGGATAGTCCGCGTTGTAACCGTTAAGACCGCTAAAGGCAGTTTCGTACGTCCGGTTGTGCGTTTATGCCCATTACCAAACCAATAATGAATAGCTTGACATTTAAATACATAATTTTTTTTTATATTTAATTACTAATTTATTACGCAAATTGAAACTAAAATTAAATAATTGTTATATTTTATTCGCATAGGCTTATGTTATCACCATATATTCTCTAATATTTATTTGATTGTATCATGTATCATAGTCATGGAGATGATATTTATCTTATTTATTTTAAAGGTAACCCTTTATAGCCGGGAGGATGTTGGCGCCATCTAGTTTATTTTATATAATGCATTTTTTTCTTTTTCTAAAATTACCCTCCTTTAAGTTCCTATATTTTTCGGGCGTTCGTATCTTCTCACCCGCACGCCAAGTATGTAATGAGAGAACGCTAAGAACAGTTGCAAGTCGGTCAATTGAAGGAGAAGCAACCGCGCCGCATATAAATACTTTATAAGACCATCAAATTAGTGATTAGTGAAGTTTTGTGTCCGCAAAAGAGAGGAAGACGCGTTAGGTCGTCTGTACTTGGTGAAACCTACCTCCGGAGCGTGGAAGATCTACGAGAGCGGCGGTGACAAGGTAGGCGTGCAATTTATTTAACGAATGCCCTTTCTCTCAACCAGCATCCTTTTACAGTCCAGGATCGAAGACCATAAGCTTTGCTAGTTAAACACTCTCTCCAAACCAATATCCTTGCCTGTGCCGTGGATCGTCCATCAGCACAATATCATAATTTAATTAATAATGTATCAATTAATATTATAATTTAATTAAAAAAAAAAAAATCTTTATTGACATAAAAAATGTTACAATATTTTTTTGAAGTCCCTGACTCCCGAGCTAGGTTAAAAACCTGTGTTACGGGAGTCAGTGCGATCTCCCTAATATAAATGACAGCTAAACTATTTTATGTAAATAAAGTAATTTAATTCTATTTGCGTGCATGCATATCTCCGCGAGGTGTGTGTGTGTGTGTGTGTGTGTGTGTGTGTGTGTGTGTGTGTGTGTGTGTGTGTGTGTGTGTGTGTGTGTGTGTGTGTGTGTGTGTGTGTGTGTGTGTGTGTGTGTGTGTGTGTGTGTGTGTGTGTGTGTGTTAGTGTGCGAGTTTGTGTGTGTGCGTGTGTGTGTGTGTGTGTGTGTGTGTATTAATTAATAATTTGTAATAATACATACATTAATATTATAATCTAATTAATAATGTATAAATTCGGTTATATTATATTCTTCTAAGTACTTGTATCACTCATAAGCTTTCTTTTCTAAAAAGTGATGTCCGCTCTAAGAATACTATCCCTGTGGAAAGTTTCACTATCTAGCTAATAATTTGAACCATATAATATAGGCACTCAAATATTATTTAACCTTACATCTTCTCACACGTGCTAGCATTAAAATGTTTAATATCCAGTAATTCACAATGCTGACGGTGCCACAAAAAACTTAATGGCACTTTTAAGTGCCGATTTACTACTACGTGCTTGGCGGTGAAGCGCATCATCTCGAAGGAACTTTCATCACTTCCATGTGTAAGAAATAAAATATTTCAGTTAGTAACTACTATGGATCAACGCGTCATAGTAACCTTTTAAAAGTTACGGTAGATCGTTGCCTAGAAAGAAACGTACTGAGGGTCTAATTTTACTTTTTAAATACTTATGTTTCATAAAGTTAGTTAACGTTATAGCCCATATATGTCTCACTGTTGGGCACTGACCTTTCATGTCTGAGAGGGTTTTAGGTTAAAGAATCCGCCGCGTTGCCCCAATGCGTGTTGGCGGACATCGCATGTCCCCAAAAATTTTATTTTCTTATTTTAAACATGCAGGTTTCCTCAAGATGTTTTCCTTCACTGTCGTGCACGTGTTAGATCAGCACTTTAAATTGAAATTAACAATTTTATTGGTGTTTGGCGGGGATCGAACCCGAGTTGCTGGCATACTATGAATTTTACAGCGAGCGCTCAGTCCCTGAGCTACCAAGGGTTATAATGGCTCGGCTATCTTTCATGAAAGATAATTATTGCAATGCAAAGATTAAAAACAGTACCAACCTAACAATATTAATATCAGAAATGTTTATATACTTCAAAACAAACTTGTTACCCAAATATTAATTAGGAATATTATGAATGTTCCAACTGTTTCTATACCATTAATGTAAATTTTCAACTTCTACTAATTATCGTGAAACAAAGTTATATTTTATTAGTTATTAAAAACTAACTGTTGCTTTTAGAACTTTGTGTCTGTCGCAGGTTAATGGTAAAATCAGGTTTTTGATCAAAACCCTAGGCTTTTGGTCAAGAACCGAAAGAAGACAAAGTTTTTATTTATCTTATCATTAACTTGAAACTATCTTGTTTTTTTTTTATCAAAAACCTGAATCTTGTTTAGGTTTATGATAAAATTTAAGCTTGTGCTGATGCGGTGGTGGTGGGAGGAGAGGGGTGACGGTGTTGCAAGGCGCCGCTCGCCCTACCCTCCGCAGTCAAAATTTGGTTGGCAGCTGAGCAAAAGACCAGTTCCACCGCTAGATGCGGGAAGGCTGATGCTTACGAGTACTCGACTTTTCTGGCCCTATGGCCTCTGTGCGTCGGGCTCTTGGAGGACTCCTGCACCGTTAAATTATGGAGCCGCGGAGAAAGGCGCGCATCGTGTTCCGGTGCGCCTTACCTTAGAAGGAGAAGAGGGAGGAGTTGTCTGTCCCAAGGATGGGCTACCATGGCGCAGCATTTCCCCATGTAAAAGAAAAAATGGTTAGGTCTTGTTGATTTTATCGTCAAACTAAATCACTCTAGTTTTTAGATCATAAAACTGGCTTTCCTCAGGTTTATCATAACATAAAGTAGTAATCTTGTCAAATACCTGATGTTACCATATTCTTGCGACATGTATATAAAATAATATTATAAAAACAAGTGTCTTTTGAAGCAAACTTAAAGTAAGTTGTTTAATGAAAATTAGTTCCTCGAATTCAACACAAAATAATTGAAGGACATTTTAATATAACTTGTACTTGCGATTGTAGTCACTTTGTGAATTGCGTCTTTGTCATGAATCACTTCTCCTTTTATTTCTACATCTACCAGTAATGTATTGCTGTTGGCAATTATGCGGGTAGGATTGTTCTTGATTGTGACGTGTTTACGTGGTAGAGCTACGCTGCAGCTTTATTACGCCAAGATTGGATCATGCTGCACCATGCTGACCATGATTCTATGTTTCGTATGATAAAAGTAGAGAAACGAAGACGCTTTATACTTGTTATGAGGCACTCGATCTTAGCCCTCAGGGGTGACAACGCATCTGTATTTTGATCCTTAATCGAAGACGTCTATAGGCTGTAGCCCATATACAGTATATGCTTACTATTATGTGGACTGTTTGTTCGCATGTCACCCATATCCTTTATATAAACTAGGCCGGCGGAATGACGATCAGCGTATCAGACGTCTCGCACATTTCACACTGCTCCATATCTGGTAGTATGTGGTGCCAAACTGGGTATTTTTTTCTGGCGTAAACGAGATGGATATGTTATGGACCAAAGTGAATAATCAGGGTACTCTTTATGCTTCGTTAACCTTGTAGTCTTAAACGTGATTGCTGATCATGAGGTCCCGGGTTCGAATTTCAGGTTGTTCCAAAATCATTTTTTATAGGATAAGGATGACAAGCGAGCACACAGTCCCCGTAATGGTAAGTGGTTGTTGTTGCCTATAGACATCTACATCTATTATCGTTTGCAAATCGAAATGCAGATGCGTTATCAGCCGTGAGGACTGAAATAGAATTCCTCTTTTCCATAAAAAGGGTCTCCGGTTCTCTACACTCACCATATGAAACACAGCAGTATTAAGCTGCTATATTACGCTGGTATTCTGTGAGAGCGTGGTCGAGCTGACCCATTCGTGCTCAACTATACAGTTATATAGCTGTAGCATGAGTCTATCACGTGAAAAATGTGATGGATGGATGGCTTACACCAAATAACAAAGAAGGATTGGTCGTGTAGTAGCAGCATAAGGGAATCCATCCAAAAAAAATATCGCAAACATGTGAAGTTCGTGAACACGCATTGGGATAGCGCGGTGGATATTTCTGTATTCTAAAGGCCTCTCAGAAAGGATAGGAGCCCTGTGCCCAGCAATAGGACGTATATAAGCTGTAACTTCAACTTTCTACACTAGGATGTGATAAAAGTTTTCATTGCGTAAATTCTACAACTACGTTTTAAACTTAAATGAAAATTTTAAAAGCTATCTACCGTGAAATTCGTCAATGTGACGAAACAGAACGTTGTGTTATCTGCAATTTTGTAAGGAATGCGAGATATTAGGGACGCATAGGAATGGCGAGGCTATTTCGTTAATTATTACGGCACGGGATTACGGGTTATGGGGTTGTTATTGCGGGAACCCTCAGAATTTAAGGAGTTTTTTTTTAATAATACTGAACAAAGAATTTGACAAATGAATTTACAAATTACCTGATGTCAAGCGGTTCCTGAGGACTCTTATATCAATATCTTAGGAATTTAATCAAAATATATTTGTCTAACAAGAGATTCAATTTAAAAACCGAGATATCATATTATTATAATGAGAGGAATGAGCATGTTCATAAATAATAAAAATTGTGTTGTCAAATGCAAAAGAAACGATTAATGATGAAATCGGGGACAATCGATAGCTCTTAAGCCTTAATTGCTTGGTGAAATAAGTTTTAATCATCATCATCATCATCATTATATCTTTTTACAAGTCTAGTGCTGAACATAGGCCTCCTCCAACGGTCCTGAGCCACCTGCATTTATCGAATTCCTGCATGTCTAATCAGTACGTCTCTCCATCTTTAATAATAACAATTTAATTATATCGTTTTCTTTTACAAAACACTGCAGAACTATATAATATCAAACTCAATGTCAAGGGACCTAGGCCGATGGGACTAGATACTTGCTAGAGTACTTATGCATTCAGTTTCAGTCTCCATAGATGCAAATCATCATAAAGTCCATTCCACCATTGTAGTGTT